TTTTTCAGAGCCGTATGAACAATTTTGATCAACACTTTAGGAACATTATAGAGCACGACCGTCATCATTATTTATTCAGAAAGATGCCGCAAGCTATCGATTACCTTTTGAAATATTATCGCGATGACTCCTGTATCGTCTGTTATCCTCCACAAGTTCCTTCTCTGCGATTTCTTACTTTCTGGGCTTTGTTTAGTACTTTTCAACCAGCCTTCGCATACTCTCAGCACGCTATAAGACAATTCGAAAAGTTTAATAACTTTGACTTTAACCGTATCCCCGACCAGTTATTGAGCTGTTTTATCTTCAGCTTTCGATATAGCGAACGCCTCGACGACTTCCCTGCTTTAGTAAACGAATTTTTAACTGCCTATCAAGAAACCGATCGATTCGCTTTTGACCCTTTAGCAGACAGTTATAACAGCGAAACTTTTGAGGAAAATCTTCCTAATGGTGATATGGCCCAGAATAACGAGCAAATCGACGTACCCTTTCTTATCGACTCTAACGATGACGATCAGCTTTGCCGTGATCAACCCATCCTGATTCGGCAAGATAATCATTTTGGAAACCAAAATGACAATGATGGGCAAAACGATCCCTTGACACTTCTCGCCCAACAAATAGGCAACCTTGTTTTGCAGATGCAGCATGCCCCGCCACCCCAAATCAACATCCCCACTATTAACGTTCCTGCCCTGAACCGCGAACTTAGCCTAGTCGCATATCCTGACTTCGCCGGTAGTGAACAGAATCCGATAGCCTGGTTAGAGGATGTAAAAAAAGCCTTTGAAGCTAACCAGGTGCAAGATCAACGTAAGATCCCAGTGGTAATCCCCCGCTTGAAGGGTACTGCAGCCACTTGGTGAGTTACGGCTCGTACATATGTACCAGCCATCGATAGGTGGGATGATCCTGGTAACCAAGGACAAAGTTTCCGTCACCACTTTATAACCCAGTTTAGAACGCCTGCTCTTGAGAGCAAATAGTTTGCTCAGCTGACCCAACGTAAGCAAGGTCCCACTGAAGATGTTGATTCGTATCACGTTTCAATCGAAGAGCTATTACACCATGTCGAGTCAAGTGGTCATCAATATCCGGGTACGGCAAGGGCCCAAATGTTCATTAATGGCCTTCGACCTGAGCTCGCTACATTAGTAGCCCCCTTCATGCCTGATTCTTTAGCCGCTGCTTATGAGAGGGCTAAAGCCTTCGAAAACTCATTTAGACAGAATCTCCTCTGCCACAATCCTTATCTCTTTTCCTCATATGCATCCTCTTATAATAACGCCCCTTATACGACGTTTACTCCTCTTCTTCCAAATATCCTCTCCTCAAATCCTCCTTCGAACATTCTACCCAATTCTCAACATCCCAAAACTGAAGATGCTTTGGTCAAGCTAACGGAAGCCATCAATAATGTGATGACAAAGCTTCAAGAGACCAAAGAGTCGCCTCGCCGTAGTTCTAATAATTGGAATACTGGCCCCCGATTCCTCTGTAATCATTGTGGCCAGATGGGTCACTACGCCAGGACTTGCCCAAATCCTCTCCCTCAGAATTCTAGAAATGGTGTGGCCACAGGAAGTAACGTCATTCCTATCAACCGGAATAATGCCGCCCAGAATAATCCCCCACCTAACAACATTAACAATGGAACCCCAAATCAGGGAGGAGTGAACGAAGCCCAGACATTT